CCCGCCCCTGCGCCCGCCCCTGCGCCCGCCCGCCGCGGAGCTCACGCACGCACTCGCCGCGGCGATCCCCAAAATTATTGAAGCGCAAGAGGGAGAGGAGGAAGTGCCGTGGCGAACGCACCGGCGGGACGTCCGCCGCTCCTGCCGGCACCCGTACCCGATCCCTTGCTACCGTTCTCAGCCCCTCTCTCTCTCTCTCGCACGCTACCGCCCGCCGACCATTGCAGACAGAAAGGGGGAAGCGGGCATTGCGGCGTAGCGTGCACTCAGGTCGGTGTGGTGGGGGAGGCGTGGGACACGACAGGTACCACCACCAGGGTACCTCGTCGCCGCAAAGAAGAAGACGACTTTTTGTCGGCACAATAAACAAAAAACAAAAATAACACCGCTGTTGTCGCGGGTAACCGCGGGTACTCTTCGCTCGCTGCTCACCGTGTTTGGGCCGAGTTTGGGAAAGGACCTGGCCGGGCCAACTGCATGCGGCGTGGTCACACTTCAAAATATATTACCCGTATTTCTGAAAGGCATTCAGGATGACAACATACGTATAAGAGCATACATTCGGCATCGTGCCGCATGCAAGCGTCGCTATGGCCTGGTTGGGTATGCCCTCTGAGCGAGTAGGCACTCGTCCACACAGTGCGGAGTGTGACCACACGATATTGGCGGCCTTTTTGGTGGTGTTTTCTTTTTCTTCACACGGAACCTTTGGTACCTAATCTAATCCGCCTTTAATGTAATAGTGATAGTTTTTGTGCAGTGGCAAAATCACTCAATCAAAATAAGGGGATGCCCGTCGCCTCAGCCCCAACCCCATCCCACTTATTCACCTTGCTGGAAGAGGGGGTGGTAAGGTGGGGGGTCACTGGGCGGGCGGCCCCTTTGGACTCGCAGGGGGGGCGGGCACCCGCGCAGGATATAGGATTTGGACACAGTTCACGGTCCCTTACCCCTTCCTCGGCCACCACCGGTAGCGGGGCGAGGTGCGCCCCGGTGCGCCGGGGGGGGGGGGGGGGGCTCAAACAAAAGGCGGCGATAGCGCGGCCCCGATAACGCAGTCATTACACGCATTCCGGTCGGTGTGCGCCCTTACGGAGGGAGGGAGAAAAAGAGAGAGGGAGGAAGAGGGAAGGAGGGGCAAGAAGAACAAGGAAGGAAATCAGATCTCGCCGCGCTGCCGCCGCCGCCCCGCCTGTGCCGGCCGGTTTGAAGGTATTTGTCAGTAGCTCATGCGCCTGCTTTGGTATGTTTCTCCTTTACTTTTTCTCAAAGTCATTTGCTAATGAGCGCCGCCGTGGCTTGTTCTGCTGCCGGTGCGTCGCGTATGCATGTAGTGCGTATCGCGGCCGGGTCGTGTCCACTTATCGAGATTACCCCCGACGACGCGGATTGCTCGCATTGCTCCACCGCGCCGCCGCCACCGCCGACCGTGTCGCTCCTTCCTTCCTTCTTCGGTTCTCTTAGACATTTTCGCGCGCGCGCTCACGCACTCGACGCACACACTTGCGACCTCCTCCCGCCCCCCTCCACACACACGGACAACGCGCACGAATTTCCCCTTCTTTTTTGCCCCC